ACGAGGAAAAGTACTTTTTCCTCGTAATCTCCTCGTAAATTTACTAAGGTCTTACGAGGAAAGTATTTCCTCGTAAGTTTTCGAGGAACTTACGAGGAAATTTGCTTTCCTCGTAAGATCCTAGTAAAGGCTTAGTAACTTTACGAGGAAGAATTTTCCTAGTAAAATTTCCTAGTAAATGCTTTGTTTTCTTGTAGTGGGAGTGCTATGTTCGAGTTTACGGATTTCGGGGTAGCATCCCATACCTCACTGAGCGACTCCCCTGTTGCTCACCCCTCTTTCTTCCCCCTTGCAGGTGAGACCGATCAGCATGAGTGATCATATCGGACCGGTACTATTGGGATTTTGGGCTTCTGTCGTATTCTATCTTATATTATCGTATTTTATCATTTTGGGCTTATAAGCCTTTGGACTTTTATCGCTTATGTTGTTTCGTATTTTCAGACTTACGGTTTACGTTGATTATCAGTATTGTGGATGTTATGTATTGGGCCTTGGGCCGTTTTATGTTTTAGACTTATGTGGTATGAAGTATGCTGACTTTTAAGTATTATTATTAAATACGGCGTTTCCAGAAATAATTATTTTATTATATTATTTTCGAGAAAACGGATGTCACAATAACTCTCTCAACTAAGTATCCTTTATGTTAAAGACTTTGAAGTTGCTTAAGGGAAATCAACCGCATCCTACCAAAAGAAAACATCATCCTATCATACAAGTTCACCAGCAAAAGTGATTATTACCATTCTTAACAAGTAAATTACATTTTGACAAAAAAAAAAAATTTACTTTAAAAAAAAATTGTTTGAAATACGCGTATTGGGCCACTAAGAAATCTGTAAAACATTGGGCCGTGAATAGTAACACATTGGAAAAAAAAAAGTAACAACTACCATCGAAACGTAAATTGCGCGTCCTCGTGAGTCCACCAGATCACAAACCGTTGATCCCAAATCTAATCCAACGGCCAGCGTATCAATCCGCGTGATTGTTTCCTATTGGTCAATAATAACTCATACGCCTCTACCCGCTGTATATAATATATATATCCCCGAGACCCTCTTCTCGACGGAATAATATCATAACTGTGTCAAAAACCTGATTCGTCTCTCTTCCGAAAACAACACATGGCTGGCCGTGGAAAAACTCTCGGATCTGGAGTCGCGAAGAAGGCGACGTCTCGTAGCAGCAAAGCCGGTCTCCAGTTCCCCGTCGGTCGTATCGCCCGGTTCTTGAAGAACGGCAAGTACGCCGAACGTGTCGGCGCCGGAGCTCCGGTTTACCTCGCCGCCGTTCTCGAATACCTCGCCGCTGAGGTAATTTTTAATCCCTCAATTCTCTAGATCTGGTGGATTAATTTCGTTAAACCGGGCTTTTAAACCGGTTTGGATCTGTGTAGGTTCTTGAATTGGCTGGAAACGCGGCTAGGGACAACAAGAAGACGAGAATCGTGCCACGTCATATTCAGTTGGCCGTGAGGAACGATGAGGAGCTGAGCAAGTTGCTTGGAGATGTGACGATTGCTAATGGAGGTGTGATGCCGAACATTCACAACCTGCTTCTTCCTAAGAAGGCTGGTGGTGCGTCTAAGCCTTCCGGCGATGACGAGTAGTTTCAGATCTGTGTTTGTTGGGGGTGGTTTATTAGCTATTTGGATGTGTAGCTTAGGGTTTAGATTAGGTCTTTTATGTTTTCGTTAGTCTACGGTGCTGTGTTCTTTGGGTTCTAAATGAAATCATGTGATGATCTTAATATATTAATGTTATTATTTGGTTTCTCAATTATTTATGCAGTTATAGTGCTTTTTGTTAGAACCAACAAACGAGTTTGACAGGTTCCATAATTTCACTTCTATGTTTATGTGATCTGTTTAACCATTTGTTAAGTTGCTCAATTGATTTCTCAACGATATTAAGTACTACAAAAACGAAAAAAAGGGAAAAAGGGATGAAAGTGGATTATATCATATATATGAATGGGAGACTCCTGATTCACACCATTGTTGATGCCCACCCATATGACACAAAGGAATTGAGTTTGAAGATATGACCATTTATCCCTAAAAGAGATGTGATACAACCTCTATATATTATTGTCGCATGTGAATGGACTAATCACTAATCTGTTCATTAGCTTTGAACAGAGCTGCGAACATAATAGCCCACTAGATTATAAAGTCGCGAGTATGGAGATACTATGAGATCAGTTTTTCTGAAGTGACCACTCTCCATATTGACGTATGCATCGTATGATCTGTCGCATTTCAAAAAAAAATCCACAACAACCGTCTTCTCCACTTTCTAATGATTCTTGATCTCTAGCATACCGGGAAGTGTTTCCTTTCAAAGACAAGCCAGGTCTTGTATGCTCTATTACATTCGTTTCAAAAGTCGAACCAAGAGTTTTCCATGAATCAGAGCTCAAATTCAAACGTAAACACAAAGATTATGAACAACTTTTTTTATTAGATTTAGAAACTTCTCAAAACTAAACATCTCTATGTTTTTCTTAAAGAACAATTCTCCATAAATCTTCTATTTTTATATAATCTATTTCCTTTATCTATCTGGAATATGATAACACAAAACATATCTAAATCTACTAATCTTACTCCTTAACTCATTAAACATCTTTTTAATGAGATTGCTTCTTGCACAAGTCTTGGAATTATCAACACAAATCGTAGATATCTATGTTGATGTCCATGTGGATGTTGTGGTTGTCAGTGCTTACCATCAAGTTTCTGTAGCTACCACATGATTTATCGTGTCCAAAAGCAAATCTTTCATACTCTCAATATGTTGGGCTTTTGATCCATCTTCTCGTACCACAGACCCCAGTACGGATTCAAACAAAAGCCTACGTTTGATCCGTCTCCATAGACTGATAGACATAGCAGTAAAACCGTTGCAGTAAAAGACTTGAGACATAGAGACTAGTGGACTTCTATTTCATAGTGTAATAAGTATAATTTTACGGTTTTTACGGACTTCTATTTCACAGTGTAATAAGTATACTTCTATTTCATAGTATAATATCTAGGAAGTTTTTGTTGTGAATTTTATAGTAGAGATTTTGCTATAGTAATATATATATTTTTTGTGAGTATTTTCCAATTAAAAAAAAATAGCAAACAAATTTGAATACTCACCTTTGTCTAGAGTCTCCAAAACTAAAGTCATCCATACTCATCAAATGCCACACACCCTCCTCTTTTCCTTCCAACCCAAAATGAACTGACCAAATACTGAGCTTTAATCCATCCAAACAACAAATTCAATTGCTATAAGTTGTTGCTTTATTAGAATTTGGAAAAGAAAACTTTTGTATCAATTCTATTAATCTTATGCTTAGGTAATTTCAATAAGATGTTTTAGTAATAATCTTTTAACTAATGATGAATCGTAAACAAATCCCTCAATAATCTTTTTAACATATAAATATTTGAAGTTAGAATATGTTAATGTCAATCGCCCTCCATCTAAAGTATTATGACTAAAATAAAAGCTTTAATGTTTTTAGTAATAACCCCCCCCCCCTCCACCCCCAAAACAAATATATAAGTAAGAAAAAACCCTCAATTATATTTAAACAAAAGACTCCTCAGCTTAAAATCTTAAATTAAAACTAAAGTTCTTTGTTTGTTGATAAAGCCGCCCAAGCTGGGGTAAATCAGGCATATAGGGAATGTGGTAAATTGAAATATTATTATTTGCATATGTGCCAGAATATAACACCTTATAATTTTTTTAATGCTAACACAACAAATTTATGCAACTGTTTATATTAGCATGAAATCTTATTTTCTATTATGTTTGTTACAAACCGCAAATATAGAATAGACCATGTGATATCACAAACACTGTTCATCCTTTATAGCTCTTATTTACTTTCAAGTATTTTCTGTCAAATCTCAAAACGTGATATCGTTGGTTAAACACAGGTTTTTTTTTTTTTTTTTTTTTTTTGCTTAAATGTTTGCTTACCTAACTATTAAGGAAAAGTTTCCAAGAGACCTAAAGTTAACTTTGACGGTTAAACACAAGTTTACCCTACAAATTTTGCAAACCAATTTATGCCGATTTGGTTGGCTTCATTAACCCAAACCCTTTCTTTTTTTCTGAACAACAATGGATATTACCCCAACCCATTTCTATGATCAGAGCAACATCAATTGTTAGCACCACCGATCCACAATCCCAGCTTGAGAAAATCAACATATCTCTAATATATTATAATATCTAGGAAGTTTTTGTGTAAAACTTTATTGTACATTGAAATCTACAAGAAAACATATTCCTGAAAAAATATTGAAGATCTTAAACGATTTCAGGTCCAAATCATTATACAACTGACTTGATAAAACACTTCTTTAATCAAAACACAACGTTTTCATTTGATTGTTTTCATTCACATTTGATGACACAGTAGACGTAGGGAACAAATTATGAGTTAAAAGGTTTATTAACTAAAACATAATTGAAGGTTTTCCTTACCTTCATATTTAGTTGAAATGTTTAATTACTAAAACATGTAATTTTATCTATAGTCAAGCGCAACGATCTCATTTAAGGGTTCCCATTCACATCTGAGGATAGTTTAGAAAGAGAGGAATTGACACTGGCAAATTTTAAGTTGGGAGTTTATTCTATAAGTAGATACTTACAACATCATTACTGGAAAAACTTGTTTCAAGAATACCTACTTAATATAATAATAATAATAATATTATTATTATCTAATATGATTATTTCTTGATTAATAAGTATTTTTTTTAGAAATAGTTAGACTATTACCGTTTGACACTTGTCAAATGGGTACCTTATATTACAGAGAAAATAATATTTTATTTTTCTATTCTCTTTATTTCTTTTTCTATTTTTTTACATATTTTATTAGTGAAAATTTGGGGAAGATACTACTACTACATGTGCTCTTATTTAAAAAATGTAAAATACATTAATGAGAGATACCAAAAAAAAATTCAGGTTTATTTAAACATATAAATTGATAGAAAGCTCTAGAACATTTTTAAAATTAACAACAATATTTGTGATAAAGAATGGAGGAATACTTTAAATTCCATTTGAGAAAAATCTTATCATATATATATATATATAAATCAAATAATTTCTGTACATAAAATTAGTTACAAAATTTTCTTTTGATTATATAATCTTATCAGAGTCTTTTTTACTTATATAATTAAAATTAACCTTTGTAGCTAATTTGATGGGAAGAATTGGTTCTTATAAACTGGAATAAGTTTATCATTTTTTACTTGTAATAAATTTATTTATTTATCTTTTGTGTGTTAAAGTTATTTATCAATTTATATTCTTATATACAGTTTAATTTGTTTCCGGTCATCGCTCGTTAATCTATTTTACCTTTTTACTAAAACAGTTTAGAGCAAGACTGGTAAAACCGATACAAAGTCATATTTTTAATTACTGAACAACTAAAAGCTATTAAATTTGTTGGGAATAAATCTAAAGTTCAATATTCAGAAAGTTCGTTTTGGATTAGAAGGTAGTATTTGACATTTTGTGAGCATGGGTGACTCCTAATATAGAAAGCTCTTGTCAAATGTGAGGATCCTATTCTTCTAGAAGAAGGTTTCATTTTAGAATCGCCCATGCTCCCAAAAATACCACACATATTTCCTTCCTTCCAACTTAATAATGAACAAATGTCTAATGATATCTCCTCTTTTTTTGTTTTTCCCTTTTGTACTATTTTGGAACTGTCTTTGTACTATTGTACCAGTGTTATAAAAAAAAATTAATAATGAACATTTTATATATGGATTTTTAACATAAAAACTCCTCAACTAAGTTTGTTTTGGGTAAAAACCCCTAAACTAAGTATTTAATAAAAAAACCCCTAAACTAATTTTATTTAATGAATTAGACCCTCGCCGGTCATAATTACCTGTACTACCGGTAAATCTTCAGTTTAGAGGTTTTATCATTAAACATAAAAATCAATAAAATTCAAAATATAACAACATTATCTAAAAATTCGTAATTTTAATTTTCAAGACTTGCATTTTAAAAAAACATTCTGTAACTATATGAGTCTGATTTGTTATCCTTTTAAAATAAAAATTATATATGTATAAATTGAAAATGTAAAAACCAAGAAAATATAACAAAAATTATCTAAAGATTTACCTGTAATAAAATTATCAAAAGTTATAAATATAAAAACAAGAAAACAGAATAAAAATTATATTTTATTTAATAAAAATGTAATAATAAATCTTTAGATGATTTTTATTATATTTTGGTGTTTTAAAAATTTAATCTATATATATATATAATGCTGATGTTAAAACAAATCAAACTCATTTATTTACAGAAAGTTTGAAAAATGCTAATTTTCAAAATTTAAGTTACTAATTTTTAGATAATGTTATAATTTTTTTTTAGATTTTTAACGATAAAAACCCTTCAACTATCTTTAATATGGGGGTTTACTTGTTAGTTTGGGGGTTTTACCCAAAAAAACTTAGTTAAGGTATTTTAGAGTTAAATATCCATATTACAAGGATAAGAAATCACGCATATATTTACAGAAATTTTTAAAATGCTAGTTTTGAAAATTAAAATTACGAATTTTTGGATATATTATTATATTTTGATTTTTTTTTTATTTTTTATGTTTAATGATAAAACCCCTAAACTAAAGATTTACCGGTAGCACCGGTAATTATGACCGGCGAAGGTGTAATTCACTAAATAAAGTTAGTTTGGATGTTTTTTCATTAAATACTTAGTTTAGGGGTTTTTTACCCAAAACAAACTTAGTTGAGGGGTTTTATGTTAAAAATCTTTTATATATTGATCTTTAAATTTAGGACTTGTTGCAAAAATGACTTTAAACTCCA